CCAGGGAGGATGAAGACTGAGGCTAGGCCAGGGAGGATGAAGACTGACACTGGGCCAGGGAGGGATGAAGACTGACACTGGGCCAGGGAGGATGAAGACTGACACTGGGCCAGGGAGGGATAAAGACTGACGCTAGGCCAGGGAGGATGAAGACTGACACTGGGCCAGGGAGGATGAAGACTGACACTGAGCCAGGGGGGGATGAAGACTGACACTGGGCCAGGGGGGGGATGAAGACTGACGCTAGGCCAGGGAGGATGAAGACTGACGCTGGGCCAGGGAGGGATGAAGACTGATGCTGGGCCAGGGAGGGATGAAGACTGATGCTGGGCCAGGGAGGGATGAAGACTGACACTGGGCCAGGGAGGATGAAGACTGACGCTGGGCCAGGGGGGGATGAAGACTGATGCTGGGCCAGGGAGGGATGAAGACTGACACTGGGCCAGGGAGGGTGAAGACTGATGCTGGGCCAGGGAGGGATGGAGACTGACGCTGGGCCAGGGAGGATGAAGACTGACGCTGGGCCAGGGAGGGATGAAGACTGATGCTATGCCAGGGAGGATGAAGACTGACGCTGGGTCAGGGAGGGTGAAGACTGACGCTGGGCCAGGGAGGGATGAAGACTGACACTGGGCGAAGTAGGACTGATGAGTTGATGCAGAGTACATCCTGGTGTCAGTGACAGCCTCATCAAAGACATTTAGCCCTGGATGCTCCTGTAAGCACGATGTCCTCATGCAAGTTTCATTACAACACTCACATAATTCAAAATCAATAGTAAATGGAAGTAAGCTGCTTGTTCATTACACAGCAAGGATTTGCTTCGCATATCCTTAACACACATCGGAAAGGCTGCCGGGCTTGAATCTGCCACTAGTGGCAACATACATTCAGCTGTGAGATCAATCTACACCTCCTGTGATACAACAGCCACACTGACACTGCTAAACATCAATATTTGTGTTGGAAAGAGCAATACAAATATTCCTTGTATCTTTGTTTAGAAGTTCTTCAAGAGGCTTACCATGAACCAGATGGAAGCAGTGATGATTACAACTGTGATTAATTTTCTGCATATTCAGCATATAATTTTGACAGTACATGTAGTATTTATGTGTTTCTTTGTTGTTTAATGCCGCACTCAGCAATAGTCCAGCTATAGGATGGCGGTCTGTAAATAATCGAGTCTGGACCAGACAATACAGTGATTGACATCATGAGCATCAATCCACGTAATTGGAATACAATGACATGCATCAACCAAGTCAGCGAGCCTGACCACCCGATCCCGCTTACGACAAGCATAGTGGCCTTTTACTGCAAGAACGGTTTGCTGAAGACCTATTCTACCCCGGATCTTCACGGGTCACCACAGTAGTAACCAACATTATGTTGGACAATTATAGACCAGTTGACTGTTGGCTGACAATAATGGTCATGTTAATTCTGATGTCATATATTGAATTACAAGCAATCTAAATGTTATGAGCTGTATATTTTCATATAAAGAAGAAATGACATGTCAATGAACTTGAAAATTGAATTTGTGACAATTGATTCACTGGGTCAATAACAACATCTGTTTCGTCCCAATCATTAATGTCAGGAACATACCCAATAAATGTTTTTTTCTTAAACTGTTTTAGAAAAAAAACAATCAATAATGATAGAAAATCATTTTTTTGTCTATGTACATAATTACAAAGTGTGTTATGCTATCCATTTTCCATTATTTTAAAATGCTAAATTAAAATTGGAATCCAAATTGAAAGGTTTTTTTTGATAACTTGATCTGGAACTACTTTCTCAAAAGCGGATACACCAACTTGCAACATTTGAACCAAAGCCTTAACAGTGGTACACAAATTTATACAATTAATAACTGTTATTCTTGGATAAATGCACAAAATATGAAACACAATCTTTAATCAACTAAATTTTCATGAATGTCATTTGCGAACTGTCAAACGGTAATACACACAACTGACTTAAGTGAGCGAGTATGGTTTTACGCCGCTTTTAGCAATATTCCAGCAATATCACGGCGGGGGACACCAGAAATGGGCTTCACACATTGTACCCATGTCGGGAATCGAACCTGGGTCTTCGGCATGATGAGCGAACGCTTCAACCACTAGGCTACCGGACCATCCCTCAACTGACTTTAAGGTAAGTTTCTACATCACATACAGTTTATGTTGAGGATAAAGACACTCTTTCAACTGGTCAGGTCACGTCCGTTTCAAAATACTTTAACAGCATACTGTTAACTACAGTTATAACGAACTCAAAGGGATGACTAACTTCAGTTTGTTATAAACACAGTTCATTATTTATAAGCATTCAACTAAAATATACAGCAAATGTCCAGGACCTAAACAACAGTTACAAGCATGTTCGTCATAAATGTAGTTTACTGTATTATTTCCCAAACATTTCAGTTCCATGCACCTCAGATGTCTTTACAAGTCAATTACTGAATATTTATGTTGTTTTTGTGAACAGAAGTAAAACCTGCATGCCAATATCTACAATATCTACACTTGAATATTGTTCAGATGAAGTTTTAAGCCTATAGTAGATGTATCTGTTCAATCTATAGCTGAGTCTAATGTTCTACCTAATGTTCTAATGTTCCATTGATCCAATGAGCTTAATGTTCTATCTGGAAGTAAGTCTAATGTGCTATCTGGAAGTGAGTCAAATGTTCTATCTGAAAGTGAGTCAAATGTTCTATCTACCGTTCTACCTAATGTTCCAATGAACTTAATGTTCTATCTTGAAGTAAGTCTAATGTACTATCTGGAAGTGAGTCAAATGTTCTATCTGAAAGTGAGTCAAATGTTCTATCTAACGTTCTACCTAATGATCCAATGAGCTTAATGTTCTATCAGGAAGTGAGTCAAATGTTCTATCTAACGTTCTACCTAATGATCCAATGAGCTTAATGTTCTATCTGGAGTCTAATGTTCTATCTAATGTTCTAATGTTCCAATGATCCCATGAGTTTAATGTTCTATATGGAGGTCTCATGTTCTCCAGAGATCTCACACATGCAGCATCATAATTCCTGAAACGTTGTGTATCTTGTACAAATCATGTACCCTCTGCACTACAATGCCCGACACAACACAGTGTGATGTAGTTACAGTACTAGCTGCTGTACCAACACAAACACTAAATGGTTAAAACTATTAGACAAACATCATCAACTTGGGACAAGCTAGAATCAACGTGTCTGAGATCACAGAAAGAATTGATCAAAGTCATGTTGAAAGAAATGAACTTACTCAGCCATGAACAAACCAATATATGCCCCATAAACTGGAACATTACATAAGTGGTCTTGAATGGTTACGTTTGAATGAGTTCACATTTTTAACAATATCACACAGCATAGCTCAATCAACAGTATCAGAATAATTTATAGCACACAATGCTGGTCAGGAAGGAGAGGATAAGGCATATTTTCTATATGAGTGATAATATCCCGGGGATTTTATAGGCTATTCCAGGCATATTTTCTATATGAGTGACAATATCCCGGGGATTTTATAAGATATTCCAGGCATATTTTCTATATGAGTGACAATATCCCAGGGATTTTATAGGATATTCCAGGCATATTTTCTATATGAGTGACAATATCCCGGGGATTTCATAGGATATTCCAGGCATATTTTCTATATGAGTGATAATATCCCGGGGATTTTATAGGATATTCCAGGCATATTTTCTATATGAGTGATAATATCCCGAGTATTTTTTATAATATCCTTGGCAATTTATTAATGCACCTTCGTTCAGATTGTAACATGTAGTGAAATGTAATATCAAAATGACAAATGTTTTCTTTATATTCCCGAGGATCGAACACGCAACCTTCGTATCTGAAGCCGATTGAGTGTACCACTAGGCTACAGAGGCGCTGATAGCTGATAAATTGCAATGCTTTTTAGAATGTCTTTTTCAAGAACCAGCAACAGATATTTTACACTTATTTCCTAAGGTTCATGGAAAGTATGTTTGGAACAAAAAAATGTTGATAAATGTTGTTTTAAGTTTCTTTTTTTTCTGTTTATAAGTTTGATAAAACACTTCCCCCCAAGGTTTTTATGAAATTTAAAACCCTTATCCCGCAGATGCTGGTTTTAAATATCATAAAAAAAACCGGACGTGCTTTACCCTACACATGATCAACATGGCGGTGGAGGTGGATAATGACAGGGGGGGAGGGGTGTGGTGGTCACGAGATAACAGGTGTGTACCGGGGTAGATAGCATGATAGGGCAGCACATCCCTGAGGACACACTGACCAGTACTGACCAGTACTGACCAGTCCTGCCCAGTGATAGCCCACACGGCATTGTGTTACTTCACTTTCCCCAGGCTGGATAAACTACAACAGAGTCAGGCAGCAATCCGCCTCTCAGACAATCCAATCACCCACTAAAGCCTGGCCATTATTGGATGAAAGATAGCCCCAGAACCTCCCCCATCACAGAAAGATCAGTGCTTCTCCTGTCAATACTCTCATAACCCAGTGTAACATGGGCTGTTTTGTTGGGAAATTTGACAATTCCCCATACTGATACCGAATGCATGCAATCTAGCATCAAAATTATTTGTATGCTGTTGGCGTGTGCGACTTGGTTGAACTGATAATGTATGAATGATGAGAATGAAAGTGTGATGTTATTGATGAAGTGTCAACCTCGGATTACTATATCATCATTATTCCTGGACCCGTATAGTCACTAAATGATCCATAGGCCTTCCCAACAAAATCAAAGGACCTATTGTCAGCCATTGTGGAGAAAAACAGTGCCATATTGAACATTCCCCAAGCTGCATAATGTTCCCATGACAATCATCAACTGCCTAGAAATCAATAGAACACATTGATATGTCAAATACTATGATATATGTGCTTGCAGGTTACAGATCAACCAAAACACTGACTGTTTCACGAAACAATGGTAGAGGCAATGCATACTTACATCATTAGACATGGTTCTGTCCGTAGCTGACAACGCTTGCTCGCTGCCGGACAGGGAGGCCGAGCGTTCTGTCAAAAAGGCTTTGTTTTCATATGTGTGTTGGTCATCTAGATCTGGTACTGAGGTGGACTTGACGGATGCTTGTTGTTCTGGGGACAGGTCCACTGCAGCACCATGTGGACTGTCATCCTCCTCTTCGTCACTCCCAGGGGGGCTCACATCACCTGCTGCTTGACCTTTCTCTGCCAGAGAAGCAGCTTCCTCTATTTGTTTGTCTGGCAATAACATGTCACAGGGATTACACCAAGAGCATAGTGCAGAACACTGAATTATAGATTACCACTGGAAGAGACAAGTGTTTATGGACAGCATGGGCTGTTGGTTAACAGCTGGCTGCCATGGTGCCAGCACTATCCCAGTTTTGGTTGATACAGCTATTATTGCCCGCTTTAAATCACAGAACTACGGCCTGACCATTCTGCTGTTGAGAGCTCCGGCTTATTTGTCCATGCTGTACAGATTATCATCATGATATCCATACGATCAATTATTTGTTGAAACAAAATGGAGCTACACATCTGCCTAAAATATCAACAATTAATTGTAGTTGTTCACCTTTAGTGTGTAAAGTGAATGGTTTTTAATAATACCTATTAGAACAATAATGTTTTCTAAGAAGTATACACTGTGAAATTTTATAAAGATTTTTTTTGAAAATCCATGTAAAGGTACCATTGGACTCTGAAGAACAACAGAATTCGTTTTATAATCCCTATTCTGACTTGGACCATATGTTCCTGTGTTGTATCAGGCGAACAATTGACTTGCCTTTGCATGTGTTTGTGAACGGTGCAACCATTGGGGTAGGATACACTCACATATTAGTGAACAACTGGTATGATCACTATTTGATAGCGATTCATAAACACATGCTCACAATATAGTCGGAATTATACAATCATCTCTGCTTTTAGCTGAGATTTCTTCAGAATATGGAAGTGTTTTTTTATTTAATAAACTGTATTTATTAGATTTTTCACTCAGATAACCATTCTTGTGTACTTGAACAGGCCAGAAGAAAAACACTTGACATGTGCAGACAATGCTTCATCAGACATGGCATCACGGAGGAAGCAATGTGCAGGCAATGCTTCATCAGACATGACATCATGGAGGAAGCAATGTGCAGACAATGCTTTATCAGACATGACATCACGGAGGAAGCAATTTGCAAGATGGTTTCTTGAAAAGTTTTTCATTCATATTTTTCTGAAATAACTACATATCCAGCATTATATCATATCATTGTGACAGTCATAACATAATTTAAAAAAATCAAAATATTCAAAACTGACCAATCCGAGGGGAGTTAAAACCCGTCCACAGTGACCTCCCATTAACAAAATACAAGCCTACCCACCCATCTCAGACATCACAAAGCCTTTCCAAACACCATGCCAATGTACCAACCATAAATTTCTGAGTCCTGTGATTTTAATTGAACCATGGACCTTCTGGTCCAATGTCAGATGTCTTGTACACATGACCAAAGAGGTTAACCCTGTCAGCAAGCTGAGAAGGTTAGGATGTCTTCTGTGGGAGGACTTCATGCCCTGATACACACATCAGAACATCCTTGTAATCTGGATTTAATCCTCACTAATACTGCATTTGCAAACCATCAGTTTTCCAGCAACATCCTGACTATCTCAGATGGATTGAGGTCTGTTTTTCTGTCTCACATTTGTCAACGCCATGACATATCTTATCAGATTCATTGTTAGAAATTCTTTCACCCACATGGATGTGCCATCTTGATTGACAGTGAACAATGGCGCCAACTGAATCATTTTAATGATTCAATCAGCCATTCGTGTTCTGCATCCCATGGGGTGGGCAGGACGAACCATGTGTGTCCAATTTCAATTTTGAGGATGTAATATTTTCCATCAGGTAAATCCCTGACGATGCTCGTGTTTTGGCTGCATCACTCTCAAAGTAAAAAAAATACTTCAAACAATTGTTTGTCTGGAAAGTTGAAAAGATTCTTAAAGTAAAACTTACGCTGAAGCAGATAATAAAAAAACATTTTGTTAAAAAGAAAATTGATCACGACTACTTTCCCTTTTGAAACCTATATTACACAGACCAATTATGTTTAATCATGTAGCTTCTTCAGAAACAAATTGTCATTTTAAAGGTGTTCACCATGCAACTAGAAGGCTAGACTAGAAATGTGGTATTGATTTCTGAAGCATACAACTCCAGTCCATGGTCAAGGAATTGCTTCTCAAGACACTGATCTGTGTCATGGCCTGCAGGCAGACAGGGGTAGTGAACAGAATCTATGTACAGTGAAATCTGTCAATACCAGACAAGTTATTGTCCCAAATTTACTTCAAAATTCAGGGGGCACAGGTGGCCTTTTCATCAAAGGTTCCGCAATTCACTTTGCAGAGTTGCATCCCTTGGGCATGCCACGAACCTATGACCTATAATTACTCAATTCCAAGAAAGATAGATTCAGAGCTACTGAAGATTGGCGCTTAAGTCTTATTTATTATGTATGTATACCGAACATGTAAAAGTTGCATATTAGGTGCAATGTAAATAGATTGTTGTTATTGTTATTATTATTATTATTATTATTATTATTACCTGCTGGTACATCCGTCTTGATGCTCTTGTGACTCTTCCTGCTGCGAGCACTCTTCCCACTTCGGACACTGCTGCGGATGCTGCCTCTGTGTGTGGCAAGAGTGTTCTGGTAACGCTTGAGCACCTCGTCATCACTATCACTGGAGGATTCATCATCGTACTGATAGGAAGTTCCTGAAATACAGTATCAGACACTTCTAAGTATACATTAACTGCCAGAATACAGTGTCAGACACCTCTAAGTTTGTTTGTTTGTCTGTTGTTTAATGCCGCACTCAGCAATATTCCAGCCTTATCCGGGTCTTCAGCAACCCATGCTTGCCGTAAAAGGCCACTATGCTTGTCGTAAGAGGCGACTAACAGGATCGGGTGGTCAGGCTCGCTGACTTGGTTGATGCATGTCATCGTTTCCCAATTGCATGGGTCGATGTTCATGATGTCAATGACTGGATTGTCTGGCCCAGACTCCATTATTTACAGACCTATTATTTACAGCTGTCCTATAGCTGGAATATTGCTGAGTGCGGCGTTAAAAAACAAATAAACAAACGAACGAAATCTGATCAGTAATATTTTTTTCAAATGACCCAGCATGTTTTTAAGCTAACTTTCAAGATTCAATTCATAATCATTGATGTAATAAATCATGAGATTTAAGGTATGAAAATTCATTTTACAGATAAACATACATTACATTTTTTTATTCACCAGAGCTACAAGAACACAGAAAGGACAAAGAACATGCATGGAATAAGACATAGCGTGATGTGCACACATTTGACTTCTATCATACGCGAAATTTCTGTAAATCACGCTGCAGTTGTCCTGTAAAGCTGAAACTGACAAGTTAAATATTTGTAACTACCATTCATACATTCCCAAACAGTGCTTTATCTTGTCGAAATAATCTTCTCAAGAAACTCTTACGGCACATGGCACAACATGTGTAGCTTGCAGTGAGGATTGGACAGGCTTTCTGCCCTAGAAGGAATTGATTATCTGTCAAACTGATTCCAGCTCCATGTTTCTCAATGTGCTGAAAGTAATTGAGTAATCATCACATAGCTGTGATACAATTATGTCTAGTGAAAAGAAAATTCTTTTTCATATCTGCAACAACTTTATTGAATTAGACATCAGACGAAAAATACAGGAAATACCGTGTTTGTAATGAGTGACCTGGCGTCTGCTCCCTCTTAAATCCGGTACACAGAAATAGTGAAGTAAGCAGATCACACCATTTTCACACACTACACAAATATAGCTTCTATAGGTTCATTTATCAGTCACTGTCCCTTTCCTGCCTGAATTACAGCAATATTTAAACAAGCCTGGCACTCATAGATCAACTGATGCAAATGAAGATCAACCTCTGATAATTGGTGACTAGGGTTGCGACAGGTACTCGAGTACCCGATAACGGGTGGGGTAGCCTAGGACTCGAGTACCTGTTCAGGGGAGATAACTTGTAAGTCACTTCAAAATGGACGACAAAGCGGACAAACGTTCAAATGTTTGGGCGTATTCTGACCTTGATGACACAAAGAAAAAGACCAAATGCCGTCTCTGTGGCATATGTATCAGCTACGCAGGTAGTTCGACGAGTTCCATGAAAAAGCATCTAAGTTTTAAACACAAGAGCATTTACTTTGATATTCTGCGTCACTTGTGGTTTTAGGGAAGCCATGCAGGCATTTAATAAAAAACATAATACCTTAGAATAGATCAATAGATGACCTTTTTTTTGCAAAAGCATTACAAACAAGTGGGACAACATTGAACTACGGGTACTCGAGTCCGGTTCGGGTATTGTTTGTCGGGTACTCGAGTTCAGTTTTCGTACCCGGTCGCAACCCTATTTGTGACCACCATCTTTCCCTCTGATCAGTTAACCAGCATCCATGTGTAAAGTGCCAGCACACCTACATGTACCAGCATCTTGTGCTTGTGCTTGTGAAGGTAGGGCAACAAAGAGTGTGGTTGGTTTGTTTGTTTGCTTGCTTGCTTGCTTAACGCTGCACTCAGCAATATTATAGCTATATGACGGCGGCCTGTAAATAATCAAATCAAGACCACAAAATCCAGTGATTGACATCATGAGCATCAATCCACGCAATTAGGATACAATGACATGCATCAACCAAGTCAGTGAGCCTGACGACCCGATCCCGTTAGCAGCCTCTTACAAGAAACATGGGTTGCTGAAGACTTATTCTAACCCGGATCTTCACTGATCCAACAGTGTGTGAGTTTGGTTTAACACCGCTTTGAACAGTATTCCAGTTATATCACAGCGTGTCAGCTTAATATGGAGAGAAAGTCATGCAGTTGATGCATTTACTACTTTGGTAAAGCACACGTATGGTGCTGACAAACCTAGAAACGTAATCGGTGCCAACTGGAATTCGAACCCACGATCATACGTTGCTGAAGTGGCCATGGCAAGAATATTTTGTTGGTATCCTGTATGTAAAGCCCTTCATCTACCGGCTGAAGAGTTCATGTAGTCAACATTGATGTGTCTCACTCGATCGCTGGCAACCCACATCAGATGTAACTCTGCCTTGGATCAGCGGACAACTACACTTGCTACAGAACCACATAGCTGCTATGGGGTCATTACAACCAGGGATTTCCTCGTAGGGGCAAATGTTTACTGAGTAGGAACATTATCTGCCGCTGAAATTTCATTCATCCAAAGGGATAGATTTCTTGAGGGCACAAGGCTGTCTTTCTTATCAACTTCCTCAATATAACATCATGTCATGATTATTCCCCCTCTTATAAAGAGAACCATCCATAATGCGGTGAGGTGAAATGGGGTTTAACGTCGCGTCCAAGAATACTGCACTTAAATTATAGTTCCAACCCCCTGAGATACCATGCTGCAGTTTAACATGAATACCCCACTCAGACACAGTAAACTGACTCCGAGCTGACCAGGCCTTGCTTTAGCCCTTAATGCCGAGTGCCAGACAGGGTAACAACAAGTACCACCTTTTTAACGATTGAACCCTGGACCTTCCACTCTCCAGGCGGACGCTCTACCACAAGACCGTGGAGGCGGTCCCCTCCAAAATGAACTCAATATGACTGTGGTTACATTAAAAGAATAGGAGCAGAATTTACATGCAATAGTAGGATGGCACCCCTTCACCATCAGAACTCCAGCTTGTTGTCGGTTAGGGCGGGGACGAGTCCAAATTTACTACCCGGGTACCCACCCCCCTATTACCCGACCCTACCCGGGTACCCACTGTAGGTCTCAAGAGATAGGTACAAAATGTCCGATTGGGCATTTTTTTACCATAGCACTGGCAAAACATATTTAGATACATGTATTAAACAATCTAGTCATGGATACACTGAAGTTGACTCAAGTTATATCTTTATTCAAAGAAAGTCAGAAGGAATGGGTTCATAGCCAGAAAAAAATGAGAACATTTGTGACTTGTAGTGTAACCATAGAGTAAACAAAATATCACGTGACTAATCACGGGTCCGGGTAGTCCTGTGGGTACCCGGGTCCTACTCAGTACCCACCCGACCCGGGTACCCGAGTTACCCATCCCAGCCCTATTGTATACATATCTATATCTATACTACCTTCAAGGAATTGTTATCGCTTTGAAAAAGGATCCAATATAGCTTGTGTGTATATAGTGGATTATCATACCTCCATGTCAGAATGATGAGATCTGACTGGTCCACGTGATCTTGATAAAAGACTGTGTAACCCATCTTGGCCCCACCCCTGGCACGTGGTATAAAACCTAACGCGGGACCCATAAAACCCCATGTACCCCTTGTGATCCTGCTACCAGTGTCCAACCCAGACCGCGCGATTACGAGTTACGTCCCTTGGGTTCCTGAATAAATTATCGACAGGATTTGAATAGGAAACGCAATTTAATTTACTTTAGTAGAAAGCGTATCAAAACTTTGATCAAAATTATGTTGTATTTTGTTGTTTAGTAATCAAAAACCTTTGACAAGATGTTAAAAACAATAAATATTCTATCTTGAATAGTTCTGAAAATATTTTTGATCATTTTAGTTCGTTTTAGTTTCGTTTCTGAAATCACACGATATGAATCGCCGACTGTCATTGCAGACGATCTTTTGAATAGTGAAAATGTCGCGCAAAAACAAAAAAAATACAGACTTTTTTAATCAAAATAGATGTTCTAAAAAAGACAATGATGAAACCACAGTCACTGTAATTACTACTGATAGAAAAAATCACAAAGCATTGTTATTCATTTCAGTTCTTTATTCTGAGCTGTTACACTTTTATATGTTCCAGTACATAATACAAAATAAGACATTTTTGAAGAAAGCAGTTATTCCCCCCTACTTTTTCAAAATCCCCCCTATTTTCTACATGATGGGGGGACAAGTCACCCCTTGATTTTCAATTCTGGGTTGGACACTGTGCTACAACGTATAGTGTCCAGCAATCACATACAGACGTTTCAGTGTAGTGGGGGCTTATTACCCTGGGTCTAGCATTAACGAATGCCACTAAGCCCTGGACCTTTCTTTTCCATTAAGTCTGGCCTTGGCAAATGTCCAGATAAATACTTGCATGACATTTAGTCGTATGTATATAAATTGTTTAAGTATCCATTGATGTCCCAGATGACAGTGAAGCAACATGTCTTCTTTGCCTTTCATCAAACATTATTGACCTTAGTGATTGCCAACGAAATTGAACACACACAAAATGTAAAATAAAAAAAGAATTTAAATACTTTTTACTTAAATCAGATTTTAAAGCAAAGACATCACATATTTGAAGAAATGATTCTTTAGAAACAATATGCTCATGAAGAGCATTTTTCTAAATATGTAACACACTCCTGAACACCTATTAAAGGCAAGTCAATTTGAACTAAACCTTAACTATTTTTAAATTCACAATTGTCTTACCAGTCTTCTAGAGATCAATAGTAATTTAAAATTTCAGCTAAACCTATATGGCCATATTCCTGCGGAGATAATTACTGTGCTTGTAAAAATGAGATCAAGTCTCCAAGGGCAGGATAAACCTAATTCCAGAAGTGGATCATGTGCTTGATCAATAAAGCTGTTTGGATTCTCTCTCCCAGCCATCAGACTACAGAGGAGAAGACATGGCCAATGAAACTGTGCCACCGCCCTTGTCCTGCAGCATGGCTGTAGGGACATCACGCCATGACCTCAAACAATGTTTACAGGAAGCAAAAAGGAAGGTTAAAATGTCTGATGAATATTTTGCATATTAATGACAACTCTTACAAGTTGTTAGTCATCCTTCTCCAACTCCCAAACCCAAAATGACTGTCTTTCATGTATATTTCTATTCGGGAGGCATGCCATGCTCTGGCAGTTGTGTAATGAGAGAATGACACGGGACAGACAGGTCATGACACAGGACAGACAGGCCATGACACAGGACAGACAGGCCATGACACAGGACAGACAGGCCATGACACAGGACAGACAGGTCATGACACAGGACAGACAGGCCATGACACAGTTCAGACAGGTCATGACACAGTTCAAACAGGCCATGACACAGGACAGACAGGCCATGACACAGGACAGACAGGTCATGACACAGGACAGACAGGTCATGACACAGGACAGACAGGCCATGACACAGGACAGACAGGTCATGACACAGGACAGACAGGTCATGACACAGGACAGACAGGCCATGACACAGTTCAGACAGGCCATGACACAGGACAGACAGGTCATGACACAGTTCAAACAGGCCATGACAGGACAGACAGACGGGCCATGACACAGTTCAGACAGAGAGGCCATGACACAGTTCAGACAGACAGGTCATGACAGGACAGACAGGGGCTGAATGATGCAGATCAGATACAGCTGGGTACAGTTTAGACAGGCCATGACACAGTTCAGACAGGCCATGACACAGTTCAGACAGGCCATGACACAGGACAGACAGGTCATGACAGGACAGACAGGCCATGACACAGGACAGACAGGGGCTGAATGATGCAGATCAGATATGGCCGGGTACAGTTCAGACAGGCCATGATACAGTTCAGACAGGCCATGACACAGGACAGACAGGGGCTGAATGATGCAGATCAGATACAGCTGGGTACAGTTTAGAAAGGCCATGACACAGTTCAGACAGGTCATGACACAGTTCAGACAGGCCATGACACAGTTCAGACAGGCCATGACACAGGACAGACAGAAAGGCCATGACACAGTTCAGACAGGCCATGACACAGAGCAGACACGCCATGACACAGGACAGACATGCCATGTCACAGGACAGACAGGTCATGATAAAGGACAGACAGGCCATGACACAGTTCAGACATGCCATGACACAGGACAGACAGACAGGCCATGACACAGTTCAGACATGCCATGATACAGGACAGACAGGCCATGACACAGTTCAGACAGGCCATGACACAGGACAGACAGGTCATGACACAGGACAGACAGGCCATGACACAGTTCAGACAGGTCATGACACAGGACAGACAGACAGGACAGACAGACAGGTCATGACACAGTTCAGACAGGTCATGACACAGGACAGGCAGGTCATGACACAGGACAGGCAGGTCATGACACAGGACAGACAGGTCATGACACAGGACAGACAGGCCATGACACAGGACAGACAGGCCATGACACAGTTCAGACAGACAGGCCATGACACAGGACAGACAGACAGGTCATGACACAGTTCAGACAGGCCATGACACAGGACAGACAGGTCATGACACAGGACAGGCAGGTCATGACACAGGACAGGCAGGTCATGACACAGAACAGACAGGTCATGACACAGGACAGACAGGCCATGAAACAGGACAGACAGGCCATGACACAGTTCAGACAGACAGGCCATGAAACAGGACAGACAGGCCATGACACAGTTCAGACAGACAGGCCATGACACAGGACAGACAGACAGGACAGACAGACAGGTCATGACACAGGACAGACAGGTCATGACACAGGACAGACAGGTCATGACACAGGACAGACAGGCCATGACACAGGACAGACAGGCCATGATACAGGACAGACAGGTCATGACACAGTTCAGACATGCCATGACACTGGACAGACAGACAGGCCAGGACACAGGACATGTAGCTCATTAGCTAGTGAATAAATCATCTCACAAACAAGGTATAAGCCCACCTCACAATGGATCTAATCAAAACAAACATATATTATTGATGCATATGAAGCAGTGCAGAAATAACAATGTGGAAGCCATCAGGACCTCGTCATGGACACCACCTCCTTCAAGTCTCGAGCATCATAGACTTGAATTTAGTTTAAGATGTACTATGTAACACTAGTTCCAAGGCTTAACTGGTGTGTTCAAACTAATACACAGACCATATCTCATTGAATTAGCAGATCAGGTGCATCAACTTCACCTTCGGTAATTAATAGATATCGAACCACAAGGCTCTGTAGCTCACCATGATTTATGAAGAAATAATTTTTATGACACTTCAACTTTATTTTGTTTTATTACTTCCAGAGTAAATCAGTGCAAAAGATTTTGGGGAAAGAAAAAAATTGACTTATGCAACATCGTTTTCAGTATAAAATATTGATGCCTTGAAGAAACATGACTTTGATGGCTTATTGTAGTCATTACATTCACACAAAGGTTAAGCCCTGTGAACTGTGGTTCTTAACAATAACATTTATAAACTTTTTTAAAAATTTATTTTGATATTTGAAGAAATAAAAACTTAAAAATTCACACTGATTTGAACAGAGGGTTTTCCATAAAAGGAACCACTTGCGCTTCATCAGTCAAGTAGTCTCAGAGAAGACAGTTCACATCATGTTAAAAGTGCAAAGCTCACACGAGCATGTCTCTTTTCAGTAGTCTGTCACAAAAAAGATCCAAGTCTTTGAAGTGTTGCAGGTCCCTAGCCCTTGAATCGACAGCAGAACAAATGCCTTTAACCAGCCACTGGTTAACTGACAAATTGGCAAAACTGCTGGCCGACGTCCGTTGACAATCTAGGCCTGTTTCAATTTGTTGCCATGCACTTCACATACTATATATTAAGTTTCATAATGATACATCCAGAAATATTATGGCCCAAAATGACATTTCATGTTTAAAATCAGATCGGAATTCTGTTTTTCAAGATCTGCTCTGGAATCGAGCAGTACCACCATATTCAGTCTGAGTCAAAGTCATTGCCATGGAAATTCAAAATATAAAGTTTAAAAAAATCCCAAACTGTCAAAAGGTGCAAGTTTACCACTAGACCTATCTATGTGCCAAGTTTGGTGAAAACATATTGTACAGTTTTCAAGATCTGCTAGCGCCCTTTTCAATCTTAGTCAAAGTTGTTGCCATGGAAACTAAAAAAACACATTTTCAAAAATCCCAAATTATCAAAATGCCCCAGTTCACCACCAGACCTACCTATGTGCCAAGTTTGGTTAAGATAGATCTCATGTTTTTTTAGTTCTGTTCCAGAAACGAAACGTGACGGACAGACAGCACCCATTCAAATATCCCCCTTCCACTTCATGGTGGGGAGTAATAATGAAACTCAGTGATATATGGGATGGAACAAGTTGGCCAGTGAATGTAGACATATAACCGAGTTGTTTGGGGTATACAAGAAGTGTCTTATGTGAGATGAGATGGAACAGGGTGTCACGTCACATCTTGTCCTCGTCCATACTACTGCTGGTTGTACAGCACTTTCACTTACACATATTATACTGACTGCAAGTCAACCAGTCCCAGTTTTATCCCCTTAATGATGTGCAGCAGGCAGGGAAACAACAAGTGCCATCTCTGAAAACCTTTTTGTACGATGCGGCCATGGATCGAACACTGACACTCTATCCACTACACCACCGAGCTGGTCAAGTGTTTCAAGTGTATAATGTATGGTTGGGTAGACATAAATGTTTAGCAGATCGAACAGCATAGTTTTCTAAAAAATTAAAATTAACACACAAAAAATAATTAAAATTAACTCCAGGTTTTGATGACGGAGTCAATGAGTCAGATCTTAACGTCATCACAGTTAAAAGCAGACAATAAGTATTTTTATTTTCAGCTCCAAATCAATGCCTCGAGCTGAGAGTATTTAATTTCACCGTTACTTGGACATTCGAGGAACATACTGCTTTGACATTTCCACAAATCTACAGCTTGTACAAGTGAAATGATATAAGGTATCATTTCCTCGACAGCATGGACACCACCTGATGTGGGGGGGTTGAACAGAAAATATATATACCAGAGCTGTATGCTCTGTAGGTTGTCACAAGGCCATTTGTGAAAAAAAAGATTAAATACATATATCCTGAATGAAGAGCATGCTATGGTTGAGGGTATGGTATTTGTTAACATGCTTCCTACAAAGCAGAGTAACCCAGAGTAACAGATATGGAATGAGACAGTCGTGCTCTGATAGGTCCATCACCCGCCCAAATTGCAATACAATACAAACCATTGACTACAACGGAGTCTGTGTTCTCATCTTTCTTCCTCCGTTTGGCCGCTGCTTTCTTCTTCCTCTCGTCTGACCCTTTAGCTGTGCTGGCCGAGTGGTCACTCAGGCCGGAGGTAGATTTCTTTAGCCCATGAGTGATACAGTCAGTTTCGTCACAACTGCTGTCATATCCCCTGGCTTGTTGGGACTTGGGCTCGGTGGGGGACTTCTGACTGAACCCACAGCACAGGGCCAGCAAACTTTTTGTCGAGAAGTCGAATCCCGAGAGTTTATTACCGAACATCGACACCACAGCTATAACCCTCCTCCAGTACTACATCCTACACGAGAAACATCTCGTATCAATACTTCCGCTATTCCTGAGTGGCAGGCAGTGCCATTCACAAGAAGCTGCTTCGTTGGCAATGGTTGCAGCACACACAGGCAATATATGGTAATCCCTGAAGACTGGAATGTAAAATTTCTCCCTCAATCCAAACCATGAATCAATGGCAGAACTCCAGTGTGGAACAGCCAGCAAGGAACATAACGTGTAATCCTCTCACATCAACACCACATACCAAGAGGTCCATTACATGGATGCACTCTTATCATCTCCAAAGGAAAACTTTGACAGAAAGGTTTATCCTTGTCCAGCATGCGTCCATCAGAAAAACTGGGATCCTTCGTTGTTCTAGGTGTGACACCACTGGCAATGCAGCATTGTCTAAAAAAGACCCTGCATCCTTGCATTCCACCTCTCCATGTCACAAACCAGCTACACAAACTAGACTTAAGCTATCGCATGGTCTGCTAAACGACCTGTAAACACTGGGCGATATTGATTTGCCAAGGGAGGCAATCCCATCTACACACTGATCACAGCAGGTGAATTGTGACACACTAGAATTCTCATCAGTGAGTTGCGGAAGCAAATAAATCAATGATACAAGCAAATATGGCCATCCTTAATTCAATTAGTTTGTTTGTTTGTTGTATAACACCGCATTCAGTAATATTCCAGCTACATAACTGTAATTCAATTAGTTGGAAATGTCATCTCAAAAACTGCTTCTAATATTTAAGGTCAAATCTCAGAATTGTAATACAGTCAAAACACTGTTATCCCAAATGTTCCAATATCACGAACTTTTCACGGGTCCCAACCACCTCCCTACACCAATGCATATAAATTTGTCTTCTTACTTCAAGTTCGAGATATAAATACAAAGTGCTGTCTTGAAACTTGGACTCATTCCCAATTTTGACTACAATAGAATTTTGTTGTGTTGTGTACATAATTAGATTTGTGGGAAATCATATTGCTATTGATCTATAATACTGTTACTTCATCTGCCTGGATGTCTATGTCTCATATATATATCGGATATATCAGATATCATGGTCCTCTGTGTTCAAGACAATGAGGTTCAACTGTATATCCAAGGACTTGATTCACTATCTCAAGAAGAGATATTCTCGACAAATCAGTTTTAGGCAGAGGTGTTTAGGTATGTGACTAAAGGCACGGTTTACGTAGGCTAAAAAACACAGGAGCTCAAAACTCCTTGACCTCCTTAAGACAGCAATATTATTGATTGATCAATATTTACTCATGACCTCTGTCATGCCTTGTGAAACGCTACAGCAGCTTAAAATGGCAACAGAACGGCAGAACTTCTGCAATTCTTTGGCAACAGCGATGATCTCGTAGGTACACCGTTTCCATAGCTGTGTTCAGCGGGTGATGCAAGAGGACTGGGCAGTCTACTTAAAGATCTATTGCTCACACATCACTCATTGTAAGGCGATAGCAATTAGATTCTTACACTGCTACTCCCAAGTCAATCCATACATGCTGCTAGAACCAGCTAATTCTTATCAATAATTGATATCAACAGCTTTGTTTGAGACAGCCTTACCGGACAGCAGTACCCTTGTGTTCTTCTGACGCTGAGTTAATTATGCAACTTTCACACAGACCATCAGTTGACAGACCCAGGGTTTAACACAGCGTACACAGTATTTAATTGATATCCTGGTGTAGTCAGCTTAATGTTGGAGGCGTGGTGCATGCAGGTGTGTGTGGCTGCTTGTACTAGTCCGGACTGATGCTGATTTATAGTGCTCGTCCACTGAGATACCAGTGCAGATGTAACATGAATACCCCTCTCAGACACAGTATACTGATTCTGAGATGACCAGTCCTTGTTTTAGCCCCTTAATGCCAAGTGCCAGGCAGGGTAACAACAAGTACCATCTTTTAACGTCTTTTGGTATGACGCAGTTGTTGATAAAACTTCGGGTGGACGCTCTGCACAACATATTGCGGCACAAAGGATGACTGAACCCCCTGTGCCCTTGTGCCCCTACTGACAGGATGAATAATTATCATTCACATAGCACAGCTGTATGTAATACAGGACAGTATTCATCACATTCAGCATTGTGGGTACAGCATTCATCACATTCAGCATTGTGGGTATTGTATTCATCACATTCAGCATTGTGGGTACAGCATTCATCACATTCAGCATTGTGGGTATTGTATTCATCACATTCAGCATTGTGGTACAGCATTATCACATTCAGCATTGTCGGTACAGCATTCATCACATTCAGCTTTGTCAGTACAGCATTCGTCACATTCAGCATTGTGGGTACAATATTCATCATATTCAGCACTGTGGTACAGCATTCATCACATTCAGCATTGTGGGTACAGCATTCATCACATTCAGCATTGTGGGTACAATATTCATCACATTCAGGATTGTGGTACAGCATTCATCATATTCAGCACTGTGGGTACAGCATTCGTCACATTCAGCATTGTGGGTACAGCATTCATCACATTCAGCATTGTGGGAACAATATTCATCACATTCAGCATTGTGGGTACAGCATTCATCACATTCAGCACTGTGGGTACAATATTCATCACATTCAGCATTGTGGGTAAAGCATTCATCACATTCAGCACTGTGGGTATTGTATTCATCACATTCAGCACTGTGGGTACAATATTCATCACATTCAGCACTGTGGGTACAATATTCATCACATTCAGCACTGTGGGTACAATATTCATCACATTCAGCACTGTGGGTACAGCATTCATCACATTCAGCATTGTGGGTACAATATTCATCAAATTCAGCATTGTTGGTACAGCATTCATCACATTCAGCACTGTGGGTACAGCATTCATCACATTCAGCACTGTGGGTACAATATTCATCAAATTCAGCATTGTGGGTACAGCATTCATCACATTCAGCATTGTGGGTACAGCATTCATCACATTCAGCACTGTGGGTACAATATTCATCACATTCAGCATTGTGGGTACAATATTCATCAAATTCAGCATTGTGGGTACAGCATTCATCACATTCAGCACTGTGGGTACAATATTCATCAAATTCAGCATTGTTGGTACAGCATTCATCACATTCAGCACTGTGGGTATTGTATTCATCACATTCAGCACTGTGGGTACAGACTTCATCACATTCAGCACTGTGGGTACAGACTTCATCACATTCAGCACTGTGGGTATTGTATTCATCACATTCAGGATTGTCGGTACAGAATTCATCACATTCAGCAAAGCTGGTCAAGTCTTCATCGTGGGTTGTAGTCATCACACTCGGCTGATGCTAAATCGGTTTCTAAGTCCTAAGAGATGGGAAATAATATTTAACAGTTCATAAGGAATCTCTAAAACATTAGGTAATTATACATTTATTCCAAAGAATTATTTATAACCTTATAATTATTTGTTTTATTAGTGTTTGAGTAACAGTGCTGTCATGTTTTGGATTCATTTTACAGAAAAGCATATCTTTTATAACATGTTCAATTGGTACAAAACACACTGATCCTTCACAGGATCTGGCGCCAAATGAAAGTCAACAGTTCTAGTCACAAGGCATGCTCCACTTTCTACACACTGGCACAGATATAATTGAATGTTCAGAGAAGCAGAACTCATATCCTCTCCTGGCGCCATTTTAAAACTAAGGAAAAATAAGCTGCCCTTAGAGATGGTCAAATTAATCAATGTAGTCAGTTCTGGGGGGACTGCATGGCACCAAATATCCTGAATAATATGTCAGTTATGCATGACCACGACAGCGCACAAATTGTCTGGCAACAGCCTACTTTTTTATATTCCAGTAAACAAATCAATAACAGTGAGAGAGTTCTGAAACTAAATGCTAAAATAATGTTATTTCAATATCACAAAAGACATCAGCAGAAATATATTAACATATTTTCTTTCTTTTTTGCATAGAGACTGTTGTAAAAGAATATTACTTTTCTTGCTTTCATATTGCTTTGAAGCTGTTGTACTGTGTAATTGGTTGTGCATTTGTGATCAGGTCTTCATAATAGTATGATGTTAAACCATGGTGAAGCAGTCTGTTTGTGAAGGAGGAATGCCTATGACATGACTCACTTTAACAAAATGTTGATTTTGTAACATTTAGTTCATTTGTTGTTAAACGTAGCACTCAGCAACTTCCAGCTACATGACAGCATTCAGTGAGTTTGTGTCACCTGCCAATAGATTATCACGTGAATTCACCGAAAAATTTATAATTATGATGGCAGTAATGAACACAGAAACACTGTGATAACGTGATTAAATGGTGTATGTCAAAACAAAATGTATTTTGTGCAACATATGTATATACATGCAAGAACATATGGACAGAATTTCAGACTTGGTAGTGTGTCCTGTGTGCTTACAAAAATTAATTGTAGATTGTTGGTGAAAAAGTCTGTCTGTTGGATCTATTGGAGGAGGGTGCTTAAAACGGCGAATGTGATATTCCATGTTATGACAATAAGGTTTTTGGTGACCTTGACCTTCATCAGAGGTCATCAATAATCTTTTCCAAATGAGCCCTTAGCTACCCTAGAAAACAATCCAAACACCATGTTTCGATCATTGAACGACAAACACTCATGTTACTGTTTATACAAGCCAAGTTCAGCCCAAGTGACCTTGACCTTCAATGTCAACCAATCATATGTCAGGAAAATTCTCCAGGGATATATAGGAGTTATATCAGGTACGAAGTTTCCGACATCTGCCATAAGCGTGTGGTTGAGAAAAGAACCCAAGTGAGCAACAAGAAAAACAAAATAATTCATCATTCGTATTCATTTATCTTGAGATGCATTTTCATACAATTTAGTATCATATATAATTTCAGCTGATGACTTCACTGTGAACTAAAGCAATAATTAATATTGAGAGTCTAAAAACGAAACAAGTTTGAACTTTGGACTACAGCAAGGATAGGAACATTTATCCAGTACAAGCTGTATATGGTTCCCTACAGCTTTGTCGACCATGCCACCTAACCCGTGTGACATCCCCTGAAATACTGCACACATCCTCCTCTTCCATATAAGAGGTGGAACTACCGTCATCGAAGCAGGGAGGCAAGGAACCACACATTCCACTCAAGTTAACTGCTGTGTAAGAGGCTACAGAGAAGTCTTGGTGCACTCAGATATTGAACACTGACAAGCGGACAACTGGGTAGAGTTTTATTCTCCCCAAGGGATCTGGCCTGTCATTGTCTGCTGGAGGCTGGAAGACCACAAATACTTCAGCATTATACCACACACTAAATACTTCAGAGCCATTGCTTCTCCCAAAATGGTTGTGAAATTGTAATTTATTAATATAACTTTACATGTTTTGTTTGTTGTTTAATGCCCACTCAGCAATATTCCAGCTATATGTTTGTTTGTTTGTTGTTTAACGCTGCACTCAGCAATATTCCAGCTCTATGTTTGTTTGTTGTTTAAGG